GTGGAACAAGCTCCCTCACGACGCCAGGACAGCGGAGTCACTGACCACCTTCTGGAGACCCCCCCCCCCACACACACACACACACAAAATAAATAAATAAAAGACAAAAAGATTTTAAAAAACATAAAATAAAAAAATATATATATAAAACAAATGAAAATTTTAAATGTACTATAAAATTTAAAAATTGGATAAATATATATATAAAACAAATTGTAAAGTGGTTGTCCCACTGGCTATCATAAGGTGAATGCACCAATTTGTAAGTCGCTCTGGATAAGAGCGTCTGCTAAATTATGTAAATGTAAATGTAACTTAGCAGACGCTCTTATCCAGAGCAACTTACAGTTAGTGAGTGCATACATATTCATACTGGCCCCCCGTGGGAATCAAACCCACAACCCTGGCGTTGCAAACGCCATGCTCTACCAACTGAGTTACACGGACCTGTGATGGGATGTATAGACAATATACAGTACCAGTCAAAAGTTTGGACACACACTCAAGGGTTTTTCTTTAATTTTACTATTTTCTATAACGCATATGGAATCATGTAGTAACCAAAAAAGTGTTAAACAAATCAAAATATATTTTATATTTGAGATTCTTCAAATAGCCACCTTTTGCCTTGATGACAAATTTGCACACTCTTGGCATTCTCTCAACCAGGTTCACCTGAAAACAGTCTTGAAGGAGTTCCCACATATGCTTAGCACTTGTTGGCTGCTTTTCCTTCACTCTGCCGTTCGACTTATCCCGAACCATCTCAATTGGGTTGAGGTCGGTGGATTGTGGAGGCCAGGTCATCTGATGCAGCACTCCATCACCCTCCTTCTTGGTAAAATAGCCCTTACACAGCCTGGAGGTGTGTTGGGTCATTGTCCTGTTGAAAAACAAATGTTGTTGTTATTCTGTCTCTCACTGTTCAAATAAACCTACCATTAAAATTATAGACTGATCATTTCTTTGTCAGTAGACAAACGTACAAAATCAGCAGGGGATCAAATACTTTTTTCCCTCACTGTACATACATACACATACATATACACATACAGTGGGGAGAACAAGTATTTGATACACTGCCGATTTTGCAGGTGTTCCTACTTACAAAGCATGTAGAGGTCTGTAATTTTTATCATAGGTACACTTCAACTGTGAGAGACGGAATCTAAAACAAAAATCCAGAAAATCACATTGTATGATTTTTAAGTAATTCATTTGCATTTTATTGCATGACATAAGTATTTGATACATCAGAAAAGCAGAACTTAATATTTGGTACAGAAACCTTTGTTTGCAATTACAGAGATCATACGTTTCCTGTAGGTCTTGACCAGGTTTGCACACACTGCAGCAGGGATTTTGGCCCACTCCTCCATACAGACCTTCTCCAGATCCTTCAGGTTTCGGGGCTGTCGCTGGGCACTACGGACTTTCAGCTCCCTCCAAAGATTTTCTATTGGGTTCAGGTCTGGAGACTGGCTAGGCCACTCCAGGACCTTGAGATGCTTCTTACGGAGCCACTCCTTAGTTGCCCTGGCTGTGTGTTTCGGGTCGTTGTCATGCTGGAAGACCCAGCCACGATCCATCGTCGATGCTCTTACTGAGGGAAGGAGGTTGTTGGCCAAGATCTTGCGATACATGGCCCCATCCATCCTCCCCTCAATATGGTGCAGTCGTCCTGTCCCCTTTGCAGAAAAGCATCCCCAAAGAATGATGTTTCCACCTCCATGCTTCACGGTTGGGATGGTGTTCTTGGGGTTGTACTCATCCTTCTTCTTCCTCCAAACACGGCGAGTGGAGTTTAGACCAAAAAGCTCTATTTTTGTCTCATCAGACCACATGACCTTCTCCCATTCCTCCTCTGGATCATCCAGATGGTCATTGGCAAACTTCAGACGGGCCTGGACATGCGCTGGCTTGAGCAGGGGGACCTTGCGTGCGCTGCAGGATTTTAATCCATGATGGCGTAGTGTGTTACTAACGGTTTTCTTTGAGAATGTGGTCCCAGCTCTCTTCAGGTCATTGACTAGGTCCTGCCGTGTAGTTCTGGGCTGATCCCTCACCTTCCTCATGATCATTGATGCCCCACGAGGTGAGATCTTGCATGGAGCCCCAGACCGATGGTGATTGACCGTCATCTGAACTTCTTCAATTTTCTAATAATTGCGCCAACAGTTGTTGCCTTCTCACCAAGCTGCTTGCCTATTGTCCTGTAGCCCGTCCCAGCCTTGTGCAGGTCTACAATTTTATCCCTGATGTCCTTACACAGCTCTCTGGTCTTGGCCATTGTGGAGAGGTTGGAGTCTGTTTGATTGAGTGTGTGGACAGGTGTATTTTATACAGGTAACGAGTTCAAACAGGTGCAGTTAATACAGGTAATGAGTGGAGAACAGGATGGCTTCTTAAAGAAAAACTAACAGGTCTGTGAGAGCCGGAATTCTTACTGGTTGGTAGGTGATCAAATACTTATGTCATGCAATACAATGCAAATTAATTACTTAAAAATCATACAATGTGATTTTCTGGATTTTTGTTTTAGATTCCGTCTCTCACAGTTGAAGTGTACCTATGATAAAAATTACAGACCTCTACATGCTTTGTAAGTAGGAACACCTGCAAAATCGGCAGTCTATCAAATACTTTTTTCCCTCACTGTACATATATATACACATATCCTTTAAAAAAATATATTTCCCTTTATTACTTTCCAACCCCACCACCCGTCCCCTAATTGGAGCAAACTAGTGAACAACAATGCTTAGGCCTCTACTTCCAGCTTATACATACTATATGCATTTTATGGACAAGGTCAATTTTACAATAATTATATTTTGTTTGTTTTTACTCATGAACTTCCCTCAACCTCTCCGATCATTTTCATGATGTCAATCCGGTTTGCTTCTATATGCCATATCTTTCTAACTGTGCTCTTTCACAAAAAATCTCTACCTATAGCCTATATACTTATTATGGACACAGTATGCTTTACATTAGTTATCTTGTTGTTATTAGATGTTATATTTTGTTATTTCTACCCGCTGTAGCGCCTTACCAGGCGGTGATGCAACCGGTCAGGATGCTCTCGATGGTGCAGCTGTAGAACTTATTGAGGATCTGGGGACCCACGCCAAATCTTTTCAGTCTCCAGAGGGGGAAAAGGCGTTGTCGTGCCCTCTTCACGACTTTCTTGGTGTGTTTGGACCATAAACCCTAATTTTTCACGTTAAAAGTCGTCAAGCAATGTAGTGGCTATGATGACTGAGCACATTCTGAATCTGACTGTAGGCCCAAATACAGACCAGGCTACAGCGCCATCTATTGGAGGTTGTTTGAATATCATGGAATGAGAAATTTTAGGCCAAAAATCGTGACTGAAATATAATAATATTTAATACATTTTAAAAAATGTCTCGCGGGCCATACTTTGCCCTCCTTGCTTTAGATGGTGTATACCTAGTCACTACAACGGTACAGGCATCCTTCCTAACTCACTTGCCGGAGAGGAAGGAAACCACTCAGGGATTTCACCTTGAGGCCAATGGTGACTTTAAAACAGTTACAGAGAAAACAGATGGAACAACAACATTGTAGTTACTCCACAAACAGAATAAAAATATTCCAAAACATGCATCCTGTTTGCAATAAGACACTAAAGTAAAACTGCAAAAAATATGGCAATGAAATTAACTTTATGTCCTGAATACTAAGTGTTATGTTTGGGGCAAATCCAACACAACACATCACTGAGTACCACTCTTCATATTTTCAAGCATGGTGGTGGCTGCATCATGTTACAGGTGTGCTTGTCATCGGCAAGGACTGGGGAGTTTTAAAAGATAAAAAGAAACGGAATAGAGCTAAGCACAGGCAAAAATGTGTACGAAAATCTGGTTCAGTCTGCTTTCCACCAGACACTGGGAGACACATTCACCTTTCAGCAGGACAATAACCTAAAACAAGGTTATATAGGCCAAATATACACTGGAATTGGGCCAAATATACACTGGAAGGCCAAATATACACTGGAATTGATTAGCAAGACGACATGAAATGTTCCTGAGTGGCCTAGTTAAAGTTTTGACTTAAATAGGCTTGGAAATCTATGGCAAGACTTTAAAATGGCTGTCTAGCAACGATCAACAACCAACCTGTTAGAGCTTGAAGAATAAAGTGCAAATATTGTACAATCCAGGTGTGCAAAGCTTTTAGAGACTTACCCAGAAATACTCACAGCAGTAATCGCTGCCAAAGGTGATTCTAACATGTATTGACTAAGGGGTGTGAATACTTATGTACATTTCTGTATTTCATTTAGTTTTTAAAGTGCTATAATGTCTAAAAACATGTTTTCAATGTGTCATTATGGAGTACTGTGTGTAGATGGGTGAGGAAAAAATCAGTTTAATCCATTTTGAATTCATGCTGTAACAACAAAATGTGGAATAAATCAGGGGGTATGAATACTTTCTGAAGGCACTGTAGTACTTGTCAGAATAGGGAAAGAGCGTTTCGTGCTGGGGTCCTACACTGAATGTCCCGGGAATACTGACTGGCGTGACTTTGACCAATAAGAACTAAAATAAGTTTAGGACCTTCTGAATGGGGGCTGAGCTGCCTGACTAAAAACACCAGCAGTGTGCTAAAACAGCTAACTGAAGATGTCCGTTTTAACACTGACTGTAAATAAATCCCGCATTCACTTGCTTTTTTAGATGCATTTTTGGATTGGGGTGGATAATAGACCTTCAGGAGGAGCCAGCCAACAAGTCAGCAACAGGTAGCCTAAAACCAACTAATGATGATGAATCTAAAGTAACTAGAATAGTAAATTATTATTTTTTAAAGTTAAAATTATTCAGTAAAAACAAGACAAAGACTTGCACACATGCAGGTGATGTACATATAATGTAGGAAGTGACGGACCACCTAGCTAGTGCCTACATTTCCCGTCATACCTTACCGGAAGAAATCAACTCCATGGAAACGGCTCCCGGTCGTGAAGCTAGCTAGCTTCTTACACGAGCAAATCAATCACACTCACAGCGCAGTCACCCGTTAGCTAGCTAATTACTGGACCAGTAGCTTATCTGCCTCGTAGCATTGTTTTATACTGGATCGCATTACCACATTTTACTCTGCAGTTATGAGCCGAACTCCGGATGCAAGGGCAAGGTAAGGCATGTTTACAACTTGCAAGACAGAGCTAACTAGCTCACGTAACGACGTTAGCCGTTTTAGCGTGAACACATTGTGCAAAATACTTGATTTATATAACTTTTTTTAGTGATTTGTTAGTTAGCTAGCTAACCTTTCTTAAATTATTTAACTAGCTAGGTAGCTATTGCGTCCAACTTTAGCTTGATATTAGTGTTTCTGTGATAGCTAGACTAACTATGTAACTTAGTTAACTTTAACCAGGTTATCTAGCTAAAGTTACCTGGATGTTCCCATCACAGAGACAGTCAGACCAGACAGATCCAGGAGAACATCACCAACACGGAGAAGCACTTTGGAGAGATGTGCCAACTGTTCGCTGCCTACGTGCGTAAAACGGCGAGGTTACGGGACAAGGCAGACCTACTGGTCAGAGAGATCAGCATCTATGCGGAGACAGAAACGCCAAATCTGCAGAGGGGTATGAAACAGTTTGCAGACAACCTTGCCAAAGTTCAGGATTATCGTCAAGCAGAGGTAAGCCTATGTACCAGAGTTTTTTAATCATAATACATGCACTAAATAAATATGGTTGTTATTGAAAATAGTGCATACTTCTATTGATCAGACAATTGATCATTTTTCATCTGCAGGTATTTTGTGTTCTAATCTAGCTGCATGTGATCTCAAATCCCCCCAGGGATGAATTAACTACGTAACTTTGATATTCTCAATGTATTTGCAGGTGGAGAGGCTTGAAGCCAAAGTGGTAGAGCCTTTGAAAAGCTATGGAAGTGTTGTTAAACTTAAACGGGTAAGATACAGTCCTTTCCCATATTTGGATAAAACTGCTGCTCTTTGTATATGGTCGTTTTTCTGTTCTGATGTATAGGCCTACTGTTCCGATGGATAGGCCTACTGTTCTGATGGATAGGCCTACTGTTCCGATGGATAGGCCTACTGTTCCGATGGATAGGCCTACTGTTCTGATGGATAGGCCTACTGTTCTGATGGATAGGCCTACTGTTCTGATGGATAGGCCTACTGTTCCGATGGATAGGCCTACTGTTCTGATGGATAGGCCTACTGTTCTGATGGATAGGCCTACTGTTCTGATGGATAGGCCTACTGTTCCGATGGATAGGCCTACTGTTCTGATGGATAGGCCTACTGTTCTGATGGATAGGCCTACTGTTCTGATGGATAGGCCTACTGTTCTGATGGATAGGCCTACTGTTCCGATGGATAGGCCTACTGTTCTGATGGATAGGCCTACTGTTCTGATGGATAGGCCTACTGTTCTGATGGATAGGCCTTGCCTACTGTTCTGATGGATAGGCCTACTGTTCCGATGGATAGGCCTTCTGTTCTGATGGATAGGCCTACTGTTCCGATGGATAGGCCTACTGTTCCGATGGATAGGCCTACTGTTCTGATGTATAGGCCTACTGTTCTGATGGATAGGCCTACTGTTCTGATGGATAGGCCTACTGTTCTACTGTTCTACTGTTTTGGGTGACAGTTATCCTCTATTATGTTGTCAAAAAAACAAAAAACCGAACGTCTGTTGCACACCTGAGGGGTATCACACCTGAGGGGTATCACACCTGAGGGGTATCACACCTGAGGGGTATCACACCTGAGGGGTATCACACCTGAGGGGTATCACACCTGAGGTGTATCACACCTGAGGTGTATCACACCTGAGGCGTATCACACCTGAGGCGTATCATAGGAAGCAGGTTTGAGGAGTTAGCAAAGTAACTTTGGTCAACTCTGAGTTCAACTTGGGATAACCGGTCATACGAAAGTGGCTCACCTTTTAGCCAGGTACATTTCTATGGCAACAAATCCTTCAGAACTAACCTGCTCCGGGGCAGGCTAACTCAGGGATAACTCCACATACCCTGAATGAAATGACCTGAACCACGAGGTGAGGACCAATGAAATTAGATTCCCTCCCTCAAATAAAATGTTAATTGTCACATGCTTCGAAAAACAGGTGGAGACTAACAGTGAAATGCTTACTGGGCCCTTCCCAACAACAGGTGGAGACTAACAGTGGAATGCTTACTGACGGGCCCTTCCCAACAACAGGTGGAGACTAACAGTGAAATGCTTCCTGGGCCCTTCCCAACAACAGGTGGAGACTAACAGTGAAATGCTTCCTGGGCCCTTCCCAACAACAGGTGGAGACTAACAGTGAAATGCTTACTGGGCCCTTCCCAACAACAGGTGGAGACTAACAGTGAAATGCTTACTGGGCCCTTCCCAACAACAGGTGGAGACTAACAGTGAAATGCTTACTGGGCCCTTCCCAACAACAGGTGGAGACTAACAGTGAAATGCTTACTGGGCCCTTCCCAACAACAGGTGGAGACTAACAGTGAAATGCTTACTGGGCCCTTCCCAACAACAGGTGGAGACTAACAGTGAAATGCTTACTGGGCCCTTCCCAACAACAGGTGGAGACTAACAGTGAAATGCTTCCTGGGCCCTTCCCAACAACAGGTGGAGACTAACAGTGAAATGCTTACTGGGCCCTTCCCAACAACAGGTGGAGACTAACAGTGAAATGCTTCCTGGGCCCTTCCCAACAACAGGTGGAGACTAACAGTGAAATGCTTACTGGGCCCTTCCCAACAACAGGTGGAGACTAACAGTGAAATGCTTACTGGGCCCTTCCCAACAACAGGTGGAGACTAACAGTGAAATGCTTACTGGGCCCTTCCCAACAACAGGTGGAGACTAACAGTGGAATGCTTACTGGGCCCTTCCCAACAACAGGTGGAGACTAACAGTGAAATGCTTACTGGGCCCTTCCCAACAACAGGTGGAGACTAACAGTGAAATGCTTACTTGCGGGCCCTTCCCAACAACAGGTGGAGACTAACAGTGAAATGCTTACTGGGCCCTTCCCAACAACAGGTGGAGACTAACAGTGAAATGCTTACTGGGCCCTTCCCAACAACAGGTGGAGACTAACAGTGAAATGCTTACTGGGCCCTTCCCAACAACAGGTGGAGACTAACAGTGAAATGCTTACTTGCGGGCCCTTCCCAACAACAGGTGGAGACTAACAGTGAAATGCTTACTGGGCCCTTCCCAACAACAGGTGGAGACTAACAGTGAAATGCTTACAGGCCCTTCCCAACAATGCAGAATACAATAAAATACAAAATAAAATGAAAATAATAATAGAACAGAAATTGTAACACCAGTAATAGATACACAGCGTGACTATATAGATGCAGTACCAGTATCTAGATGCTACGCCATCTGGACAAACCAAGATTTATAGATGACCTATACATATATACCCCATAATGACTGTATATCTAATGTCATAATGTATATACACTACCGGTCAAAAGGTTTAGAACACCTACTCATTCAAGAGTTTTTCTTTATTTTTAATATTTTTCACATTGTAGAATAATAGTGAAGACATCAGAACTATGAAATAGCACACATGGAATCATGTAGTAACCAAAGAAATGTTAAACTAATCAAAATATGTTTTATATTTGAGATTCTTCAAATAGCCACCCTTTGCCTTGATGACAGCTTTGCACACTCTTGGCATTCTCAACCAGCTTCATGAGGTAGTCACCTGGAATGCATTTCAATTAACAGGTGTGCCTTCTTAAAAGTTAATTTGTGGAATTTCTCTCCTTAATGCGTTTGACACAATCAGTTGTGTTGTGACCTAGCCAACCACGTGAGGGCGGTGACCTAGCCAACCACGTGAGGGCGGTGACCTAGCCAACCACGTGGGGGCGGTGACCTAGCCAACCACGTGAGGGCGGTGACCTAGCCAACCACGTGAGGGCGGTGACCTAGCCAACCACGTGAGGGCGGTGACCTAGCCAACCACGTGGGGGCGGTGACCTAGCCAACCACGTGAGGGCGGTGACCTAGCCAACCACGTGAGGGCGGTGACCTAGCCAACCACGTGGGGGCGGTGACCTAGCCAACCACGTGGGGGCGGTGACCTAGCCAACCACGTGGGGGCGGTGACCTAGCCAACCACGTGGGGGCGGTGACCTAGCCAACCAGGTGGGGGCGGTGACCTAGCCTGTTGTATTGTGTCACTGTCTCCAGTTCAATCCCAGTATATTGGTGATCCATTTAAATCCATATTTTACTATGACCTGGCTGTATTCTACAGTTGGTTGGATCTTAATATGACCAGTTGGTTGGATCTTACTATGACCAGTTGGTTGGATCTTAATATGACCTGGCTGTATTCTACAGTTGGTTGGATCTTAATATGACCTGGCTGTATTCTACAGTTGGTTGGATCTTAATATGACCTGGCTGTATTCTACAGTTGGTTGGATCTTACTATGATCTTGTACGATCTTAATCAAATTTGTCATTTTATTGAAATATGTATTATTTGTGGGTCCCAAATGGCAACCTATTTCCTATATAGTGCACTACTTTTGGCCAGGACCCATAGAGCCCTGGTCTAAAGTAGTGCACTATATAGGGAATAGGGTGCCATTTGAGATGCTACCATTATTTCATCCACTAACCCCAGCCCCCTCAACATGCACGTATGTGATTGTCAGGAGGGCCTGAAGACCACTCAGAGTGCCAGGAACAGGGAGTCCAAACAGATGCAGCAGCTGGAGAGAATGAGACAGAGGAACCCCTCTGACAGACAGATCATCGTATCCTTACTGTTCTCTCACCTACCATCCCTTTACGCCAGTCATGCATTAGGCTACATTGTTATTCACGTGCTGTATGCGTGTCAATGGGATAACACTGAACACTAGTAGGTTGATTGCTGTCACTGCTATTCATAAATTACTATATTAAAGAGAGGTGAAAGAGGATTTATAATTTCTAATGTCCTAATTTCCTTAACGATACCAACAGTCCCAGGTGGGTGGCTTTCTTCTGAATCTCTGGTTCTGTATGATTGCAGTCCAGTATATTAATTTATCTCTTCTCTTTGTCTTGAGACATATTTAGTCAAATATCCATTATGGAAATTATTTGAAGTGTATGTTATTTTGTTGTGTATTGTGTTGTCATGACAACAGGCTGAAAGTGACCTGCAGAGAGCCACGATGGACGCCACGCGCACAACACGACAACTGGAGGAGACGATAGACGCGTTTGAAAAGCAGAAAATACAAGATATCAAGGTCTCTCTCTCTGTCTCTCTGTCTCTCGGTCTCTCTCTCTCTCTCTCTCTCTCTCTCTCTCTCTCTCTCTCCCTCTCTCCCTCTCTCCAAATAAGCACAATATCCAGTGTTTCTTTGTGGTCAGATTTTCAGCATTAGCAATCATCCTTTGTTGAATGGAACCACAGTAAAACAATCTGTTTAATCATTATTACAATAATTGTTGTTCATTACTTCCTTTTATTGACAAGGCCATACTATCCTTCTGCTCCTCTCTCCCTGTAGAAGATCTTTGGGGAGTTCTTGACGGTGGAGATGTCGTTCCATGCCAAGGCGTTGGAGGCGTACACCACAGCTTACCAGAGCATACACAACGTAGATGAAGAGGAGGATCTGGAGGTAATATAGTAGATGAAGAGGAGGATCTGGAGGTAATATAGTAGATGAAGAGGAGGATCTGGAGGTAATATAGTAGATGAAGAGGAGGATCTGGAGGTAATATAGTAGATGAAGAGGAGGATCTGGAGGTCAGGGTTATAGTAGCTTTGGGCCTGTATTGATGAAGCATGTCAGAAAAGGTCCTAGGAATCCTGATAACATGTTTTAGGACAATAACAAAAAACCTTCCAGCTCAGAGTACAGTGAGGGAAAAAAGTATTTGATCCCCTGCTGATTTTGTACGTTTGCCCACTGACAAAGGAATGATCAGTCTATAATTTTAATGGTACGTTTATTTGAACAGTGAGAGACAGAATAACAACCAAAAAATCCAGAAAAACGCATGTCAAAAATGTTATAAATTGATTAGCATTTTAATGAGGTAAATAAGTATTTGACCCCCTCTCAATCAGAAAGATTTCTGGCTCCCAGGTGTCTTTTATACAGGTAACGAGCTGAGATTAGGAGCACACTCTTAAAGGGAGTGCTCCTAATCTCAGTTTGTTAAAGGGAGTGCTCCTAATCTCAGCTTGTTACCTTTATAAAAGACACCTGTCCACAGAATCAATCAGTCAATCAGATTCCAAACTCTCCACCATGGCCAAGACCAAAGAGCTCTCCAAGGATGTCAGGGACAAGATTGTAGACCTACACAAGGCTGGAATGGGCTACAAGACCATCGCCAAGCAGCGTGATGAGAGGTGTTGGGTTTGCGCCAGACATAGCGTATTCCTTGATGGCCAAAAAGCTCAATTTTAGTTTCATCTGACCAGAGTACCTTCTTCCATATGTTTGGGGAGTCTCCCACTTGCCTTTTGGTGAACACCAAATGTGTTTGCTTATTTTTTCTTTAAGCAATGGCTTTTTTTCTGGCCACTCTTCCGTAAAGCCCAGCTCTGTGAAGTGTACAGCTTAAAGTGGTCCTATGGACAGATACTCCAATCTCCACTGTGGAGCTTTGCAGCTCCTTCAGGGTTATCTGTGGACTCTTTGTTGCCTCTGATTAATGCCCTCCTTCCCTGGTCTGTGAGTTTTGGTGGGCGGCCCTCTCTTGGCAGATTTGTTGTGGTGCAATATTCTTTCCATTTTTTAATAATGGATTTAATGGTGCTCCGTGGGATGTTGTAGCTGTCCCGTATAGCTCAGTTGGTAGAGCATGGCGTTTGCAATGCCAGGGTTGTGGGTTCGATTCCCACGGGGGGCCAGTATGAAAAAAATACATGAAAACAATAACTGTATGTCTGGATAAAAGCGTCTGTTAAATTACTAAAATGTAAAATGTAATGTTCTTTAGAACCCAACCCTGTCCTGACCTGTTTGGAGATCCTTGGTCTTCATGGTGCCGCTTGCTTGGTGGTGTTGCAGACTCTGGGGCCTTTCAGAACAGGTGTACAGTTGAAGTCGGAAGTTTACATACACTTAGGTTGGAATCATTAAAACTTGTTTTTCAACCACTCCAAAAATGTCTTGTTAACAAACTATAGTTTTGGCAAGTCGGTTAGGACATCTACTTTGTGCATGACACAAGTCATTTTTCCAATAATTGTTTACAGACAGATTATTTCACTTATAATTCACTGTATCACAATTCCAGTTGGTCAGAAGTTTACATACACTAAGTTGACTGTGCCTTTAAACAGCTTGGAAAATTCCAGAAAATGATGTAATGGCTTTAAGAGCTTCTGATAGGCTAATTGACATAATTTGAGTCAATTGGAGGTGTACCTGTGGATGTATTTCAAGGCCTACCTTCAAACTCAGTGCCTCTTTGCTTGACATCATGGGGAAATCAAAATAAATCAGCCAAGACCTCAGAAAAACAATTGTAAACCTCCACAAGTCTGGTTCATCCTTGGGAGCAATTTCCAAACGCCTGAAGGTACCACGTTCATCTGTACAAACAATAGTATGCAGCCGTCATACCGCTCAGGAAGGAGACGCGTTCTGTCTCCTAGAGATGAACGTAGTTTGGTGCGAAAAGTGCAAATCAATCCCAGAACAACAGCAAAGGACCTTGTGAAGATGCTGGAGGAAACAGGTACAAAAGTCTCTATATCCACAGTAAAACGAGTCCTATATCGACATAACCTGAAAGGCCGCTCAGCAAGGAAGAAGCCACTGCTCCAAAACCGCCATAAAAAAGCCAGACTACGGTTTGCAACTGCACATGGTGACAGATATCGTACTTTTTGTAGAAATGTCCTCTGGTCTGATGAAACAAAAATAGAACTGTTTGGCCATAATGACCATCGTTATGTTTGGAGGAAAAAGGGGGCACTTGTGAGCTGAAGAACACCATCCCAACCGTGAAGGACGGGGGTGGCAGCATCATGCTGTGGGGGTGCTTTGCTGCAGGAGGGACTGGTGCGCTGCACAAAATAGATGGCATCATGAGGAAGGAAAATTAGGTGGATATATTGAAGCAACATCTCAAGACATCAGTCAGGAAGTTAACGCTTGGTTGCAAATGGGTCTTCCTAATGGACAATGACCCCAAGCATTCTTCCAAAGTTGTGGCAAAATGGCTTAAGGACAACAAAGTCAAGGTATTGGAGTGGCCATCACAAAGCCCTGACCTCAATCCTATAGAAAATGTGTGGGCAGAACTGAAAAAGCGTGTGCGAGCAAGGAGGCCTACAAAACTGACTCAGTTACACCAGATCTGTCAGGAAGAATGGGCAAAAAATCACCCAACTTATTGTGGGAAGCTTGTGGAAGGCTACCCAAAATGTTTGACCCAAGTGAAACAATTTAAAGGCAATGCTACCAAATACTAATTGAGTGTATGTAAACCTCTGACCCATTGGGAATGTGATGAAAGAAATAAAAGCTGAAATAAATCATTCTCTCTACTATTATTCTGACATTTCACATTCTTAAAATGAAGTGGTGATCCTAACTGACCTAAGACAGGGAATTTTTACTAGGATTAAATGTCAGGAATTGTCAAAAACGGAGTTTAAATGTATTTGGCTAAGGTGTATGTAAACTTCCGACTTCAACTGTATATATGCTGAGATCATGTGACAGATTTTACATTTAACATTTTAATCATTTAGCAGACGCTCTTATCCAGAGCGACTTACAGTTAGCGAGTGCATACTTATATATTTGTTTCATACTGGCACCCCGTGGGAATCGAACCAACAACCCTGGTGTTGCAAGCGCCATGCTCTACCAACTGAGCTACACGGGGCACGGATCATGTGACACTTAGATTGCACACAGGTGGACTTTATTTAACTAATTATGTGACTTTGAAGGTAATTGGTTGCACCAGATCTTATTTAGGGGCTTCATATCAAAGGGGGTGAATACATATGCACGCACCACTTTTCTGTTATTCATTTTTTAGAATTTTTTAAAACATGTTATTTTCTTCACTTCACTTCACCAATTTGGACTATTTTGTGTATGTCCATTACATGAAATCCAAATAAAAAATCAATTTAAATTACAGGTTGAAATGCAACAAAATAGGAAAAACGCCAAGGGGGATGAATACTTTTGCAAGGCACTGTATGGAATAGGGTGTAAATCACTGGTTTGCATTTTCACTGCTGCCTTCTTTTTCCCAGCATGCCCAATTTAGACATGTTTTTTAACAAGCTCCAAAGCGATGATCTGAAATAACATGATGTAGCCTAGGTTAATTAAATGATCCAAATAAAAATGAAATGTTTTATTAATTCAAAATCAAATTTTATTGGTCACATACAGCAGATTTTGTTGTGGGTGGAGCGAAATGCTTGTGTTCCTAGCTCCAACAGTGCAGTAGTATCTAACAATACACACAAATCTAAAAGTCAAAGAATGGAATAAATAAATATATAAATATTAGGATGTGCAATGTCAGAGTGGCATTGACTAAAATACAGTAGAATAGAATCCAATATATACATATGAGATGAGTAAAGCAGTATGTAAACATTATTAAAGTGACTAGTGTTCCATTTAAAGTGGCCAGTGATTCCATGTCTATGTATATAGGGCAGCAGCCTCTAAGGTGCAGGGTTGAGTAACCGGGTGGTAGCCGGCTAGTGATGGCTGTTTAACAGTCTGATGGCCTTGAGATAGAAGCTGTTTTTCAGTCTCTCGGTCCCAGCTTTGATGCACCTGTACTGACCTCGCCTTCTGGATGATAGCGGGGTGAACAGGCAATGGCTCGGGTGGTTGTTGTCCTTGATTATCTTTTTGGCCTTCCTGTGACATCGGGTGCTGTAGGTGTCCTGGAGGGCTGGTAGTTTGCCCCCGGAAATGCGTTCGGCAGACCGCACCACCCTCTGGAGAGCCCTGCGGCTGCGGGCGGTGCAGTTGCCGTACCAGGCGGTGATACAGCCCGACAGGATGCTCTCAATTGTGCATCTGTAAAAGTTTGTGAGGGTTTTAGGTGCCAAGCTGAATTTCTTCAGCCTCCTGAGGTTGAAGAGGCGCTGTTGTGTTAACAAGAAATTTGTGGAGTGGTTGAAAAACACGTTTTAATGACTCCAACCTAAGTGTATGAAAACTTCCGACTTCAACTGTACATATCAAATCCAATCAAATTGTATTATTCACATGCGCCGAATACAACATGTGTAGACCTTACAGTGAAATGCTTACTTACAAGCCCTTAACCAACAATGCAGATTTAAGAAAAATAAGTGTTAAGTATAAAAATATATATAAATATATGGCATCTCTGCCCACTTTAATAATGTTTACATACTGCTTTACTCATCTCATATGTATATACTGTATTCTACTGTATTTTAGTCAATGCCACTCAGACATTGCTCATCCTAACATTTATATATTTCTTAATTCTATTCTTTAACTTTTAGATTTGTGTCTACTGTGTGTATTGTTGTGAATTGTTAGATACTACTGCACTGTTGGAGCTAGGAACACACCCGCAATAACATCTGCTAAATATGTGTATGTGACCAATAAAATGTGATGTGATTTGATTTGTCAACACTTCTTACGAAAACAAGTAGTGATGAAGTCAATCTCTCCTCCGATTTACCCTTTGTAGCTTGAAATAAGTGGTGAAAGTAATTTATTTTTAGAAAATTGACTTAATGGCTCTTACTTCACAAGTTAAGCATCAACTCGGTTATAGATAAAATACACGATTATATTAAAATGATATTTTAAGGCAGCACTAACATTAATTATTTTCTTTACCCTTTGTGGGTGCTGTTGCCAGGGGAAAAAAGGCCAAAACGAACGTTTAAACCTGTCTTTCTCCATTGTTAATATCTGACATGTTCTATCCCCAGGGTAACACTGTATGTGTGTCCAGTGTAATAGGACTTTTATCCGGGGTAATGTTTAGGATTCTGCAGATTATTGATAGTGTTCCATTCTTCATACTCATTTCTCATTGGCTACCGAAGACAGAACACATTTGTTTAAGTTATTTATGCCTACCTGCTTAGCACAAGGTAGCCTACATTCTGGAAATGTCCATTTTACACCCAATTGTCAGTTTGAGAGTCCATGAAAAGCACCAGTTTGTAGGATTTGCCAATGGAAGAGTACATCCCGCCCTCCGTCCTGTTTTGGCAGGTATTCAGGAGCTTGCTGCACCCACCTGACTACCAGTCCCGCTTAGAAATAGTGCGCACTAATTCCAAAACATCACTCAATCTGACTGAGTCTACCCTGAGTAAAACGGGGACCTTACAGGTAAGAGACTGGATGATGCCTGAAACCTAGTTACTCTTTCCAGGTTTTGACATTTGAAATTGTATAACTGTAGTGTAATTCAACCACTTGTTTTGATTCATAGGAGTGTTAATGGGGAGAGACTCCAGCACACCAGGAATCTTGATGCTTCCAACATGCTTTTTGCTCCATGCAAATCCCCTATTTATCAGCTCCATGCAAATCTCCTATTTATCAGCTCCATCCAAATCCCCTATTTATCAGCTCCATGCAAATCCCCTATTTATCAGCTCCATCCAAATCCCCTATTTATCAGCTCCATCCAAATCCCCTATTTATCAGCTCCATCCAAATCCCCTATTTATCAGCTCCATCCAAATCTCCTATTAATCAGCTCCATCCAAATCCCCTATTAATCAGCTCCATCCAAATCCCCTATTTATCAGCTCCATCCAAATCCCCTATTAATCAGCTCCATCCAAATCCCCTATTAATCAGCTCCATCCAAATCCCCTATTTATCAGCTCCATGCAAATCCCCTATTTATCAGCTCCATCCAAATCCCCTATTTATCAGCTCCATGCAAATCCCCTATTAATCAGTGTTCCTTCTAGAAAACCAGAGCATCCTATGACCCTTACTGTACCTCTATCAGTCGGCCTGTATCTGAGCTGTGTACAGCAACATCATCCTAATCATCACAACCTAACTAACGTAACCTCTTCACAGGAACACACAGATGTAGCCTGTAATCTGACATCAAACTGCATTATTTCACAGGAACACACAGATGTAGCCTGTAATCTGACATCAAACTGCTTTATTTCACAGGAACACTGAGATGTAGCCTGTAATCTGACATCAAACTGCTTTATTTCACAGGAACACTGAGATGTAGCCTGTAATCTGACATCAAACTGCTTTATTTCACAGGAACACACAGATGTAGCCTGTAATCTGAAATCAAACTGCTTTTTTTCACAGGAAGACTGAGATGTAGCCTGTAATCTGACATCCAACTGCTTTATTTCACAGGAACACTGAGATGTAGCCTGTAATCTGACATCAAACTGCTTTATTTCACAGGAACACACAGATGTAGCCTGTGATCTGAAATCAAACTGCTTTATTTCACAGGAATACAGAAAGATGTAGCCTGTAATCTGACATCAAACTGCTTTATTTCACAGGAACACAGAGATGTAATCTGACATCAAACTGCTTTATTTCACAGGAACACACAGATGTAGCCTGTGATCTGAAATCAAACTGCTTTATTTCACAGGAATACAGAAAGATGTAGCCTGTAATCTGACATCAAACTGCTTTATTTCACAGGAACACAGAGATGTAATCTGACATCAAACTGCTTTATTTCACAGGAACACACAGATGTAGCCTGTAATCTGACATCAAACTGCTTTATTTCACAGGAACACAGAGAGGTGTAGCCTGCTTTATTTCACAGGGACACAGAGAGGTGTAGCCTGCTTTATTTCACAGGAACACAGAGAGATGTAGCCTGCTTTATTTCACAGGGACACAGAGGTGTAGCCTGCTTTATTTCACAGGGACACAGAGAGGTGTAGCCTGCTTTATTTCACAGGGACACAGAGAGGTGTAGCCTGCTTTATTTCACAGGGACACAGAGAGGTGTAGCCTGCTTTATTTCACAGGGACACAGAGAGATGTAGCCTGCTTTATTTCACAGGGACACAGAGAGGTGTAGCCTGCTTTATTTCACAGGGACACAGAGAGGTGTAGCCTGCTTTATTTCACAGGGACACAGAGAGGTGTAGCCTGCTTTATTTCACAGGGACACAGAGAGGTGTAGCCTGCTTTATTTCACAGGGACACAGAGAGGTGTAGCCTGCTTTATTTCACAGGAACACAGAGAGATGTAGCCTGCTTTATTTCACAGGGACACAGAGGTGTAGCCTGCTTTATTTCACAGGGACACAGAGAGGTGTAGCCTGCTTTATTTCACAGGGACACAGAGAGGTGTAGCCTGCTTTATTTCACAGGGACACAGAGAGGTGTAGCCTGCTTTATTTCACAGGGACACAGAGAGATGTAGCCTGCTTTATTTCACAGGGACACAGAGAGGTGTAGCCTGCTTTATTTCACAGGGACACAGAGAGGTGTAGCCTGCTTTATTTCACAGGGACACAGAGAGATGTAGCCTGCTTTATTTCACAGGGACACAGAGAGATGTAGCCTGCTTTATTTCACAGGGACACAGAGAGGTGTAGCCTGCTTTATTTCACAGGGACACAGAGAGATGTAGCCTGCTTTATTTCACAGGGACACAGAGAGATGTAGCCTGCTTTATTTCACAGGGACACAGAGAGGTGTAGCCTGCTTTATTTCACAGGGACACGGAGAGGTGTAGCCTGCTTTATTTCACAGGGACACAGGGTCACAGGACAGAGAGATGTGGCCTGCTTTATTTCACAGGGACACAGAGAGATGTAGCCTGCTTTATTTCACAGGGACACAGAGAGATGTAGCCTGCTTTATTTCACAGGGACACAGAGAGATGTAGCCTGCTTTATTTCCATCTTCTCTCTGTCTTTGAAGATGCTAGCCTGGTCTCAGATACTGGTTGTGCTCTTGACAACTCCAAACATGCCTTGGCAATGAGTGACAAGGAGTTGGCAGGATAGCACAAACAGACTGGCCCTCAGGCTAGGAAGTTGCAGTGTTTTGAATAATGTACTTTACATTACAGCACAGTCACAGAATACTTGGTCATGGTATGGTAACAAGTTATAGTTACCGTAGTGATAATCTTTTGAAGGTTAGTTAGCCTATTTACTGAATGACTGCCTGCTTTCTATAGCAATCACTGACCCCGAGCAGACAGAGGAGGAGAGAGGAGGAGGAGGAGGAGGAGGAAGAGGAAGATGATGAAGAGGAAGATGATGATCTTGAAGAAGTCACAGATGATGAATGAATTGGAGCTCTGTTTTGATTCGGATCTTTTCAGTGTGTTCTTTATGGTCATGAAATGATGTCATAAACAGTGGCCATGGGGCTCTGGTCTAAAGTAGTGCACTATATAGGGAATAGGGTGCCATTCTCTGGTCTAAAGTAGTGCACTGAGTAGGGAATAGGGTTCCATTCTCTGGTCTAAAGTAGTGCACTATATAGGGAATAGGGTGCCATTCTCTGGTCTAAAGTAGTGCACTATATAGGGAATAGGGTACCATTCTCTGGTCTAAAGTAGTGCACTATATAGGGAATAGGGTGTCATTTCGGATGCAGCCATAATCTTCACGTAAAGTGTTTTTAACCCAGAGTAGCAGTGGGACATTCTGGAGCTGAAATAACTGTTATGTTGTTCTGTTACCATTTCATTGACCAGAGGGATGGTGGGATATCAATGTCTTTGTAATGTGGCAGTATTAATGTCTACTTACCTGTATTTGTATATAACAAAGTGCCTAATCTGTATTTGTTGGTGTGGGAATGTTGCCTGTACTGTATTAACCTTCCAGAATAGAAAACTGTTGTTTTATGGAATAAAGTCATGCTAGTTTACTCAACAATGGAATTCAGAAATAGTTCAGAAGTCTTATTTTTACCCTTCAATGTTTAGTTTTTGCTATGTAGCCTTACTGGCACCATGTGAATGACACCAGCTCAGACTGGCACCATGTGGATGACACCAGCTCAGACTGGCACCATGTGGATGACACCAGCTCAGACTGGCACCATGTGGATGACACCAGCTCAGACTGGCACCATGTGACTGACACCAGCTCAGACTGGCACCATGTGGATGACACCAGCTCAGACTGGCAGCATGTGGATGACACCAGCTCAGACTGGCACCATGTGGATGACACCAGCTCAGACTGGCACCATGTGAATGACACCAGCTCAGACTGGCACCATGTGAATGACACCAGCTCAGACTGGCACCATGTGGATGACACCAGCTCCGACTGGCACCATGTGAATGACACCAGCTCAGACTGGCACCATGTGGATGACACCAGCTCAGACTGGCACCATGTGAATGACACCAGCTCCGACTGGCACCATGTGAATGACACCAGCTCAGACTGGCACCATGTGGATGACACCAGCTCAGACTGGCACCATGTGGATGACACCAGCTCAGACTGGCACCATGTGGATGACACCAGCTCAGACTGGCACCATGTGAATGACACCAGCTCAGATTGGCACCATGTGGATGACACCAGCTCAGACTGGCACCATGTGACTGACACCAGCTCAGACTGGCACCATGTGGATGACACCAGCTCAGACTGGCACCATGTGGATGACACCAGCTCAGACTGGCACCATGTGAATGACACCAGCTCAGACTGGCACCATGTGAATGACACCAGCTCAGACTGGCACCATGTGAATGACACCAGCTCAGACTGGCACCATGTGGATGACACCAGCTCCGACTGGCACCATGTGAATGACACCAGCTCAGACTGGCACCATGTGGATGACACCAGCTCAGACTGGCACCATGTGAATGACACCAGCTCCGACTGGCACCATGTGAATGACACCAGCTCCGACTGGCACCATGTGAATGACACCAGCTCAGACTGGCACCATGTGAATGACACCAGCTCAGACTGGCACCATGTGAATGACACCAGCTCAGACTGACTGAGGTTTAAAACTGACCCGTCCACTCCCTGGTCATGCAGTGATATTAAATAACCCTCTACATACTGTATAGTAAGCATTAAGACTAGCCTGGTCCCAGATCTGTTTGTGCTGTCTGTATAGTAAGCATTAAGATAGCCTGGTCCCAGATCTGTTTGTGCTGTCTGTATAGTAAGCATTAAGATAGCCTGGTCCCAGATCTGTTGGTGCTGTCTGGAGTCTTCTCCACTCCTAGGGTCATTGTCACGGAACATAGAGGTTGTACAGAAATTGAGTTAATAGTGTGGGTATAAAAAGCCAATATGAAGTCCTGTCATATTTGTCATTTCAGATCATTATGGACTAAATGAAATAATGTCACGGATACCAGTGTGCTGCAACCCTACCATGAACTACATGTCAAAATGAGGAGGGGATATGATATGATATGATCCAAAGACATCCTCCAGGGGTGAAGGAGAGCCCCGGGGGGAGGGGGAGACATCCTCCAGGGGTGAAGGAGAGCCCCGGGGGGGGGGGGGGGGGGTCAGAACCAGGGATAAGGGGCCCTCACTGAACCCTCAAACAGCTCTGTCTGTCTAACATAGGCCTAAATCCCAAATAGCACCCTATTCCCTGTGTAGTGCACTACCTTTGACCACGGTCCATAGGGCTCTGGTCTAAAGTAGTGCACTATATAGGGAATAGGGTGCCATTCTCTGGTCTAAAGTAGTGCACTATATAGGGAATAGGGTGCCATTCTCTGGTCTAAAGTAGTGCACTATATAGGGAATAGGGTGCCATTCTCTGGTCTAAAGTAGTGCACTATATAGGGAATAGGGTGCCATTCTCTGGTCTAAAGTAGTGCACTATATAGGGAATAGGGTGCTATTCTCTGGTCTAAAGTAGTGCACTATATAGGGAGTAGGGTGCTATTCTCTGGTCTAAAGTAGTGCACTATATAGGGAATAGGGTGCTATTCTCTGGTCTAAAGTAGTGCACTATGTAGCTCAGCTGGTAGAGCACGGCGCTTGTAACGCCAAGGTAGTGGGTTCGATCCCCGGGACCACCCATACACAAAAAAATGTATGCACGCATGACTGTAAGTCGCTTTGGATAAAAGCGTCTGCTAAATGGCATATTATTTTATTATTTTATATATATAGGGAATAGGGTGCTATTCTCTGGTCTAAAGTAGTGCACTATATAGGGAATAGGGTGCCATTCTCTGGTCTAAAGTAGTGCACTATATAGGGAATAGGGTTCCATTCTCTGGTCAAAAGTAGTGCACTATATAGGGAATAGGGTGCCATTCTCTGGTCTAAAGTAGTGCACTATATAGGGAATAGGGTGCCATTCTCTGGTCTAAAGTAGTGCACTATATAGGGAATAGGGTGCCATTCTCTGGTCTAAAGTAGTGCACTATATAGGGAATAGGGTGCTATTCTCTGGTCTAAAGTAGTGCACTACATAGGGAATAGGGTGCCATTCTCTGGTCAAAAGTAGTGCACTATATAGGGAATAGGGTGCCATTCTCTGGTCTAAAGTAGTGCACTATATAGGGAATAGGGTGCCATTCTCTGGTCTAAAGTAGTGCACTATATAGGGAATAGGGTGCCATTCTCTGGTCAAAAGTAGTGCACTATATAGGGAATAGGGTGCCATTCTCTGGTCTAAAGTAGTGCACTATATAGGGAATAGGGTGCCATTCTCTGGTCAAAAGTAGTGCACTATATAGGGAATAGGGTGCCATTCTCTGGTCTAAAGTAGTGCACTATATAGGGAATAGGGTGCTATTCTCTGGTCTAAAGTAGTGCACTACATAGGG